TTTAGGTACTGAAAGGCTGCAATGAGGTCACCCCACAGCCTTCTTTTCTCCAGGCTGAACAAGCCCAGCTATTTTCCTTTTTTAATCTCTCTTCCTTACACAAAACCTGGAGTTGTAAAATGTTTAATTCGTTATCAAGTTTAACAATACCGCTTTCTGAGTATGGACTGGGTGAAGGTTTTTTTCCTTTGGGTTTGTTAGGATGTCAAGCAGAAAATATGCCACTTCCATCACCCTCCTCCCCTTCGCTGCCAAACATTCTGGCAGCCAGTACAGTAAGTAGGAAGGTGGGAGAATGAGGTTCAAAATTTTCTTTTTCTTGCCAGAAACACACCCACACAGACATGAAACCAACATTACGATACATGTTACACAATACTGTGCATCCCCAGGCACCAGGGAAGCAGTACCAAGGTAGGAGAGAGTTCACTGAGCAGGACAGCAGATGTCTGCACACATTTGGTAGCAGGCTTCAGGCAGTGAGCAGAGCAGGGACACTTAGAGAAGCAAGGCAGTCCCTCAGAAGCAATAGGCAGTCTCTGTCATCACTGGAGGGGTTCAGCAGGACAGCAGAAAAAAGGTCAGGAATGCCTGTTTCAAACTGTGAACATATTACATGCCCATGGGCTAAGAAGGAAGTCTTCAAGATTCCTCTGACCTCCTGTGTATCCTTTCTATTATGTCCCCCTCCTGCCAGCTTCCTTATAGCCATGCTTTTGCCTTTTACCAGAGGAGTTCATGAATCCTCCAGGGCAGGTAGCTGCTCCCTAGTTTCCTGGTTTCATTTGTCTCTTTTTTTGCAAAGTGCTGAAGAAAATGGAAAAAGCTTCTTGGCTCTAGCTGTGTTTGGAAAGTATGTGGCAGAGTTTGAAGTGAAGAAAGGGGTGGGGGGGGAGGGAAGAAACACTCCATAAATCTATATGATCTATAAATATGTGTGTTCAATTAGAAGGTCAAATGAGTAATGCAAACCACCACAGCTGAATGACAGGAACAGAAGACTAAGAACTGAGACCCCCTATAGGACTGATAGTGCTTTTAGTCAGTGTTCAAGACAAACAGATTTCATACGAAATGCACAGGTCAGCACAGGACATGGGTACCATTTACTCACGTGCATTATACCCTGGGCACAAGCTCGATGTTTGCTTTCTCCTGTGAATGTCTCCTATCATCACACAGCTTTCTCTGCAGCACCCTAAAGGGTTCACCACTTCATAAAAGGGTTGAACGTGAGCTGGTGAGCAAGGTTCAGTTTTGCACGAGCACAAGACTTCACACAGGGCTTCAGCAGTGTGTGCTTCAAAATCAGTCACTCTTCTGTTCTCTTAAAATGTTGAAGAGAACAACATCAACCTTTTTTATTTTGTCATAATGGAGAATATTCCTATTTTCTTGCAGCAACTCATGCCCAATTTACTGCTAAGCTAGAAGCTTAGAAAGCAAATGCAAAAGACAGCATGCCAGTTCTATTTCAGTTCATATAAATGTGTTTAGGTCTGTTTCTAAATATAAATACTTCCATTAGTCATGCAATTCCCTGTTTAATTGCTTGCATTAATTTTTTTAGAGAGCAGCCTCAAAGCAGCACAGGAAGGCCACAGCTGGGTAGGACAGAAACGTGATTCCATCCTAAACATCACGTTTGGCTCTCCTTTCTTCAGCCCAAAATACCAATCCTAGAGTGAGCACTGAGGATATTTGAAATTCAGAGACTAAGCACTACAACACAAGGCATTATGTGATTTCTAGAAGGAGTATAGGAGAGTTTTAAAAGACAGAAATGCCTGAGATAAGAGTGTAAAAATCCAAGGCCGGTTAAATGACCACAATCTCTCATGTGTAAACAAACAGTTAAATTTGTGTCAGGGAGCAGCGTGCTCAGTTTTCTGAAGAAGACATGTTTCCCAGAAGGAATTACATAAATATTTATGAAAATGAAGCAGGAAATATTTTCCCAGGGTAGGGCACTGTTCAGCACTACATCAGGTCAGCAGAAGCCGGGGTTTATTTTGTCAGTCTTCCCCTGGAACTGAATCATTACCCTCCTGTTTGCAAAAATCTGTTCTGACACAGGAAAAGGCTGCACTTAGATAAACACAATTACAAACCACACTGAGTATTTCACTTTCTATCGCATCTCTAAATACATATCTGAATGCCTTACTTTTTTGGACAGCTTCTCTGAATGATTGTATGGAAAATAACAATAGGTATCTGTCTCAGGCTTCTCAGGAAGTCTGATGCCCTATGAGTAAAGTCAAAGGCATCTTCAGTAAAATTAAAGCCAGCAGACTAACTGTCAGAGAAGTATTCTCATGTGCTTGAAACACGAGCCAGTAAATTTTTGCAAAGAGCAAAAAAAATTGGAAGCATGAAGATATAAAGCAGTACTACCTGAGTAAGCAGAAGTTGCATGCAGTTGAGGGACGTTTAAAAAACAAGGTACAATGTCTGTTTAGCACCTCACAAGGAGCCCAGAAGGCCTCTCAATCCAAGATCCTTCTGAGATTTTGGTACTGAGCAGCCGTCTCGCTCCCTGGGCACCAGCTGTCTCCAAATCTCTCCTGGCTTGTAGCAGACAGGCTCTTCCAGCTGGAATCTGGTCAGCTTTGCTGTTTAAAAGGTAAAAAGATGAAAGCAGAAGGAGACAGGAGGAGTAAAGGAGAGGCAAGAGCACCCCAAAAAGACACTGTTAGACCCAAGTTTCTCCAGAAGAGGCATCCCTGAGGCACACCTGGGGACACTCCAGACCATCCATCAAGATACCAAACTCAACAGAGTCAAACTCACTTGCAGGAAACCAGTGGCACATCTATTTCTACATTGCTGGTGCTAACAAAGCACCTCAAACATTCAAGAAAAATTGACCCAACTCATTACTGTCCTTTCAGCTCTGTTTACTGAACACAGAAGCAAGGAGATTTTGGAGAATTATTGTCCTTGTTTGGTTCTTTTTGGTAGCCATTTGACAGCACATTAAGGTCCAGTCATTGCTCATATCTTATTCAGAGGAGTAACAGTGGTGAAGCCTGTATTTACGGGATCAAGGAGAATGCGCATGGTGTCAAAACTAAAACTGATATTTTATAAAATAGCCTTAGGTTTACTTTTCTCCCTACATTTGGCAAACTACGTGGTACCACTTTTCCCTCTTTCATTCTCTCTAAGCTTTGCCATCATGACTGATGCATCTACAATGACTTCCTGATACAGTCCAAAGCATCACGATCAGTTTGTCATACAAGGAGAACAAAAAGCCAGGTAGGAACCCAAAGCAGAGAAATGTTATCCTTTTTTTTCTTTTACTTCAGACACCGCAGGATTATTCAGTATAGTGAGGAACAGAAAAGTTCTCCTTAGTACTATGCTGGGGGTAGAAAGGATGCCAGCAGACTTCCAGCACTTCTGGTTGGATCAACCCATGGTAATAGGCAGCATGTATTAACTTGGAGTTCAGTGACATAGGGTCTGGGACAGTATGAATTATTAAAATTTGCTGTAGATCTGGCCGCTTTTTGATGAACACCATTTCAGGATGTTGTCTGTACTCTTTCTATCTATTGTAATTTAACAACTAACATCTGAATATCCAAGAGGAGGCAAAACAACCTACCACGGAAGTACTTGAGATCCAAGGAGGAATAAAGGTTACCTGTCTGCTGCACAACTCAAAGCAACAGAATCATTCAGGATTTTCCTTTCTGCCTTCTGAAGGTTCTTGTAAAACATTTACGCCTTAGGAAATGTTTGTTTTATGTCTTTTATGTCTGGACAACACTGCCTAGTTTGTTTTTCTCTCTTGCCTACAGACACTTCCCAAAGCCTGATTCAATAAGAATTAACATGCACAATAGGCAGTGTGCCTCATTAAATCTCCATCAGTGCTGAGGCTGCTTGAGGATTTTTCGATGAAACTGGTTTGATAAATATCGATTTGCCAAAATCCAAGCTTTTGTGCTAGCATTATGTTGTGATGGATTTCCTGTTAAGGCTGATTTCCTAGCCTCAGGATAGGATTTCTGGTCCAACATACAGGAAGACATAACTGATTATCAAACAGCCCAGTAATAAGGCTATATATCCTTTAGGCTGTAAAAAACTAGTTTGAATTATGGAGAGAAAAAAATTGGATCTCCTACATTTTAAGTAGCCCTTGTGTATATATATATAAAACTTTATTACTAGCTATGTATTTAGGGTTTTTGTGACTTTCATGGAAAAAATTGTAGGGACTTGATTTCATTTCTAATGTGGAATGAGAACATTTGAAAATGATTGTTAATGGCGTAGTATCAAAAAAAAGTTATTTATCTGTTTTGTCCCAATCAGAAACTTAACTGGTTAAATGACTGGTTTTCTCCCTTACTTAAATACAGCCCCCTTTATCACTGATATATAACAAAAAATTCTCTGAAGTCTCACAGTTTTGTGGAACAGATAGCATCATTCACGTCATTTTGGCAACATTTCCCAAAATGCCTCCTCCAAAGCTAAGTACTCTAGCTTCCCACTCCTACACTCTCTATTCTTGCTCTTACATTGACCTTCTGGTCACAAAATGGAAAGTGAAGAGAAGAAGAAGATAAATAAAGCAGATTTACAGTGTACAAGTCAGAGGCACAGTGCCCAGCGCAAATCACAGAGGAACAAGTTTATTCTTGGTACAGCTCTATCCATCTCTAATCCCAGCAGTCACTTCTCTAGCAGTGGTCTATCTGTTATCAAGGCCACATTTGAAGGTGTTAGTTAGATTACATTCTTTAGGGATGAGACCACTATTTATTTATGAAAAGCACTGTACATAGTTTAACAAAAGAGAGTAGAGTTTTGAAAAGTGAAACAGTCTCTGACCAGGATAGAAAAGAAAGAGGGAGAGGAGCCTCTTGACCCTTCCTTGGGCTTTGGCCAACATTTCATCCACGTAAGAGCTTGAAATCAAAGCCCTTCTGCAATACCTTTAAAAAAAGTTAGCCACTTTCACAGCAGTATTGCTACTTTTTCTGTCTACTGAAAGAATAATGTGTGAAACTAAGGAACTAATATTGTCTAAAATAATGACGAAGGCATCTCAAAAGCTATTATTACAGGAAATATTTTTTTATCTCAGATGGAAAGCAAATACACACGCTAATAGTACTCAGGCAGTAGTAAAGAGTTGCCCTGCTTCATTGAGTAAGAAATCAGAAGTTAATGAAATTCCTGGACAGATTATAAGCAGTTATCTCCTCTTTTATGCTTCCTTGTTACTGTGTTCTTACTAAGAGAAAGCTGGAGGCTGCTCTAGGAGGAGATTGCACATGGATGGATAGCTGTGACAGTTCCTTCCAAAACGATACGTACTGGTGTTGCATGCTACCCATTCCTCTATGCTTGAGGCTCCTATACCTACTTTCAAAGTCCCAGCATCCTGCTGAAAAATTCACAGCTAACTCACGCAGATTTGAAACAGTGACATCTTCCATGGCAAGCCAGGAAAAAAAGCAAAGACAGTATGGCCTTGAGGCATGTGCTATACCACTATCCTGATATCTGGTCTCTCCTAGTTTGAGAGTAGAGGAGAAAAATGGTATGGGAGGACATTCTGCAGTCATTCAATCTCATCCTACTCTGGATTTAACGCTGTAGTTTGTCCTTCAGTACTGTGTCTAATAACAGAATTTGGACTTGGAGAAAACATTGTGGAAAAATTGGTAAACATAAAACCATCATTTGTGGGTTTCTGGCTCAAAAATCCGTTGTTAACATCAAACTTTCATCCCTCATATGGAGGCTTCTGGTAGATGGCATCCAAAAGCAAACTGCACCAGAAACATCCACCCACAGCAGACTAGGAGCTAGTCTGTCATCCCTAAAGATCTCCTTGGCAGAAAGCTCTCATGGAAGTCTCTTCACTCATTATAAGGAATCTGAATTATTTTTACAGTACAAAACTAGCTACAAGTGTCCTATTACTAATTAGTATCCACTTGGATAAAATACCACAGTCTTTTGTCTCTTGAGTGAAAAGCTGGGCATGAAGAATCAGTGCCAAAAAGAAAAAAGAATAATGAAAGAGATTATCCCCATATATTGAAGAAATTTTCCAAGGCAAAAACAGCTAAACTTCTCACAGATAAGAGATAAATTGGAATAAACAGCTGTCAGTGTAAAATAAATATCCTGGATAATGTGCAGGACAGAAATAACTACAGCATCGTCAAACTCCTTTCTTCACTTTATTTAGCTGTTCTTGCATGTAGCTCTCAATCTTTGCACTGCTTTAGTTAGCAGAGCATTTATTTTTGATTCAGCTGCATTTGTTAAGACTGTAACAACGAAAGGCATTTCCTGAGAAGCTGCAAGGATGAGCAGAAAGAAAGAACAACAGCTAAGGAAATATGGGACCCTAGTAGTGCTTTTCATCTTCCAAGTTCAGATTTTTGGTTTTGATGTTGACAATCGACCTACAACAGATGTCTGCTCGACACACACTATTTTACCTGGACCAAAAGGTGAGGAAAATCAGGTTACTAATGCTGAGACCAATAGTGATAGAGGCTGTTTTTTTGAAAAGAGAAATGTGGAGGGCTTGCAGCATGGGATGTGGATGAAGGATCTTGGTTACTACTGTCTGTAAAAACATCTAGAAAAGTGAAACTGTAACGGGGGAAAATGGCAGAGCAAGGAGATTTGAATTTGTTTTTTTCTTCAGTTACATATTCTCACATATTTTCATATAAATTAAATGTGTCTTTTTTCAATTTTCTCCAGCCACTAAATCTTCTCTTATTTCTCGTATTCCTCACACAACCAGTACTGTTAGTAGCCATAAATTGAGGAACTTTGTCTGAAAGTAAGCACCTATTCTGAACTGTTAATAGCTCACTCTGCATATAGTTGGAGAGAGAAATGCATTGTTTAAAATGACTGTAATGACATTATTTCCAAGTGCTTACCTGTAAGCAGAGTTCTGCTGCATTCATTCAGACCTGATCCAGCAGCTCCTGTTGAATTAAACAGGACCTTCGCTACAGACCTCAAGAAAAACTCTATCAGCTCTGACGTGTGCATTTCTTTTATCTTCAAAATTCTTTGCAAATATATAAAAGCAAATTTTCTGCATTAACTTGCATTTTGTGTAACGTGTCTAATGTCAGTGCAGTTGCCTGAAGGCACCACAGCTGAAAATTAGGACTATGACATACAAATCTATCTTGCAGCGACAGATCTAAAATCTATATTCAACACTACAGCTATTGCAGTTTGAACTATTGCCTTCTTTTTAGCAATTCATTGTATTTTTCTATAGGCACCAGAGGAAGAGAAAAAAATGCAACTGATTTAAATTTTAAGCAGAAAAAAAGATTATCAAGTCAAAAGTATTGCTCCAGACTAATTTGTTTTTATGATGGATTATTCAAATGCATGTTGCTTAAAGGACTATTTTTAATCAGCAAGTTAATTTCTTTATGATTACAATCCAAGCTTTAGCTTTTGCTGCCACAGCATAAATGCAGAGAGATGTAATGATCCCGAAGGGAGCAAGTAGAAGTTTGTTTAATTAATATATGAGTAATGTGAGGCTGAAGAACAAAGTTTGACAGAATTGTGTTTAACAAGTCACACGGCTAATGAGTTGGTCTTTGGACAACGTGAGAATAGTGGGATTCCAGTTGGTTTCTCTGGTCTAGCTGTGACAGGGAGCATTTAAAGGTTAGATATGATTCTCTGCAAGTGTGATACCGAGAAAATCAGGATTTAGTCATTATCAGTTCTACTGCTTCCTGGCTGATAACAAGATACAAGAGGAGTCAGAAATCTATTGGCAGGGTCTTCACTACCACTCTAAAATTACATTACCATAGCCAAGATCCATGACAGTTAAAAGTGTTGAGTAAATCAACTCTAAATTATTGGCTCAAATCCACTGCAGATCATCATAATATCTTGCAGTTAATGTGATATGATCCTAAAGCCTCATTTCAGTTCCTACCAAATCTGAGCTCACCCAAGGCAGCTATAAGCATCTCTCAATGGCAGACATTGACTGCCAGTCATCCGGGCAACTACAGATTGCGGAGCAGGCTTGGTGTGTGACTACCCTGTTATTCTTCAGGCATTCCCTATAGTTGATGATGAAACACGTTGACCTAATATGACAGAAGAAAGTCTGTTCTGATCCAGTTTTCCTCTAACTGTCTTGTGCCTAAAAACTCGGAACACAGGATCCAAGCCTAGGACCACACAAGAGCCAGAGGCAACACTTTGCTGCTCAGACGATAGTTAAACCCTGACAGCGGACAAACCCCTGATTTCCATTGCTGTAAGGTTTATTTTCTGTGCTCTACTTGTTATGCTCCTTTTTTAAGCATTTGCCTCTAATTTGCTCAGGGTCTCCAGCTATGGTGGAACACAGTGGTGTTCTCACAAGATGGAGGTGCTGAGCTTCCATAGTAATTGGTCAGCTTCTCCTACCACCACAAGCCAGGCTGCTGTTGTGGCAACTTCCTTCTACATGGGCATTAGTATCTAATGGAACTAAGCACCTAGAACCGTAAAGAACTAAAGGGTTTTGCATAGCTTTGCAAGGCTGTGGTGGCACAAACTGTTCAGTAGGCTAGATTAGGCTATGAGTGCGATTGGCCTTGGTACTACATAGCAGCAGTGCTGCTTTACCTATCACACAGCAAGGGAGGTGAGAAGGCTGAGAGAGAAGTGAGAATCTTTGTAGAGATTCTGAACTTATCACCCTTTGTTTCTTGTACTGTTGAAGGTTTCATTACTCACTTCATCATGTAGGCATTCGCAGCTGCTACAAGAGCAAGCACTTGACATTTCTGCATTCTCACCCTAAAGATCACCAGTTCGGTGTCCTGAAAATCAGCTGCTTCTTGTACAAGCTGCTTGTAACTTGTCCAGGTTAATTTGTGTAAGACAAATTCTTCCCCTTCAGAAATATACCCTTTTTTATGCTTCGACTTGGGGTGTCACGCGGGAAGTATGATATGAGTGATGAGATGAAAAGAAAGGGTAATTCCAGATTGATTATCAGGAAAGTCTTCACACCGGTTGTGCTGCACTCTCCTGCTCCTGAAGAGTGTCAGCAGAACCAGAAAACACACAGCTAGAAAATACTCTGAAAGGATACAATCTCCCAGGAACAGGAGGAAGACAGTAGATGTCCTTTAAGTCTTTTGCACTTTCAGTTATTACGATGAAAGTCTGAATAAAACAGGTTAGAATCAGAAATGAATAGGAGTTTCAGCCTGACCTCTGCTGGTGAAGTGTGATACAAACCCAGCACTCTGCAGTCCCCTCCATCTGCTGCTTTGCCATCACTGTTGAAAGCACGGGAAAATGAAAACTGTTTTGACAGAATTATGGAAAGAAAATTTATATATTTTCAATCCAGAAAAAAAAAAAAAAAAAAAAAGAGGAGAAAAAGAAACAAGAAAAAAGCAAAAGCTGTTACTTCTCTTCCAGTCTCCTTTTCTATGCAATGCTCAAAGGTCTCAAAAAGAGAGCAGGTATTTAAATGAACGTAGCCCCAGTGCAATGGCTGTCTTGTCCTGCCTTCACGAGAAAGCTCTTGAGGTATGTCACAAACTGGCTGATACAGGAGCTACAAACAGAAATCTGAGAAGCAATTTCTTAGACCCTTATTAAAATACTAAAAAAGAGAAGCAAATTTGTTCTTTCGATCGAAATACATTTTCAGTATTTGTAACTGATTTTGGTGTTTGACCTGAGATGTTTGTGAATGACTTGGATTTAGCTGGAATGGTTTGGTGTAAGATGTCTGAAAATATAAGGTAGGCAATGCTTATTCACAGTAGATTAAGTAGGACAATAGTGACCAAATTCTGCACTCATTAACTTCTTGGATCCAAACAAAACCAGATATAGCATAAATAAAGCAATGAATTTTTCAGGGAAGCCAACTCCTTGGAGTAGCAAGTTTAGTCATGGCCCTGTAACCTTCCAAGCCTCAAAATAGGCTGGTGGCTGCTGCTTTGAGAGGAATGTGGGGAAGCAGCAGTTAATGCTATGAGAGGAAAAGCACCAGTTGTTGGTCCATGCTTTGGCCACAATAAATCAGTCATCAACCATATTAGTGAAGAAAAATGCCAAGGCCAAAACTTCAACTCCTAAATTCTCATCAAAAGTAGGAACAGGGGTAGAAGAAGAATAGGGATGGCTTTACAGAAGTGTGGAACGAGACTGCAGTTGATTTCATGTGGACTTGTGGGAGCTCAATGTTCCTGAAGTCTGACTCTAGATCTTGCTATCTGTCCCAGGTCCTAGCTCATTTCCTTTGAAATCCAGACACAAGACTTCAAAGGCCTTGAGTAAGATCCAAGTTGAAAAACTGGAATGAGATGAATACAAAGAATACAGAGTTTCCCATAGCAATTCAGATGTAAAGTGTTTCCTTACTATTATTTTTGACAAATGGTGCTTATAAACTCTATGACATTGGCTAGCACCTCAAAATAGCATTTACTGTGGTCTCCTGTATAGCTGTCCATCTCTTAGCTTTAATTGTTCTTATGCAATTCCACTCCTGGAAAACCTAAAACTCTCTCAGAAACCAGATATGCTGCTATCCACATTTCCTTCCAAAAATAAGAAACGCCTTACCACATCCTATAGGCCGCTCAAACCTATAACTAACTTTCCCTCTTAGCACCTCATTTTTGATCTGAAAAGCAGCTCATAATCAACACATAATTCTATTTTTTACACATTTTTACCTTCATGTATTTTAGCATATGCTAAGCTTCTGAAGTTTTTCAGCCTGAGCTACAAAGCGTGCAGGAGGGCACTTAAATGCAAATTCAAAATATACTGGGTTTGTATTTCTTACCAGTGTAGGTTTGATTCCTCATTCAGATCACTGTCTATGGGTCTTTGAGATCACATCTTAACAGTGGGGGATATGGCTTGGAACCTTCAATTGGGACAAATCAAGTGAAAGGAGTATCAGAAATAATACAAATTATTACTGTGTTATTAGGGACACAATATATATCCTGTCCATGCACATAAGTCCCACAGTTTCAAATAATACAAGTCAGCAGAGCTCCACTGACCCTACTAAGAGTTTGATTCTGACTCATGAAATGCAATAGAATGAGGGGCTATTTCAAGTGAAGTCAACGGATGTTTAGAAGCAGAAAACAGAAAAGTGAGCAGAGAATCCAATTTATTCTCGAGATTCTTTCCACTTCACCAGGAAAAGTGACTGAGCCTCCATTCTCTAACGTGGAGATGAATGAAAAAATATAAGAACCTGTGAGCAAAATACTTATATTTCTCCTGGTGCAAACCAGTGGAGCACTACATGTTTCCTGCAGGGCACGGGGAAGAGAGGCTGCAACTGAAGTTACACATTATAGCTGGATGAGGCAGTCAGGTTTTTTTCCAAAAAGGGAGAGCCATCACTCTGACCATAGGGTTCTACCTTCCCCTTGTACTGGCTCAACTGTTTATTCATCAGACTTCTCACTGAGCTAATTGAGCTCACTAAAAATGGGTATGATATGCCTTATTAGTGTTTCCCTTCTCGTTTTCATAATTCATTAAATGCAGGGTGAGATGAGTGCTCAAAATCAGACAGAGTGGGAGGGAAGTATGCAGGTCGTTGCTGAGGGCTGGTGGGAAGAGGAACGAGGCAGGGACATTGCACTGAATCAGCTCCAGCCAGATGACTTCATTTAGTTTCAAGACAGCACAAGAAATCCTGTCCTCACTTGTCATATATAGCTTGGAAACAGGAATCCCCACAGCTACGGGAAATTTGCTAAGGATCTAAAGGACACTGAAAGTGAAATTAGAGGAAATCTTGAGGCTTTCCATTGACGTAGCTATGACACACTTATGCAATGGAAAGACAAACTGTCTTATTTGTTTATTTCTTAGAGTCTGTGACTCCCTCTGGTGACCAAACCTCTCAAATGGATTGTACACATGCAGGTGCTGCAGAGGCTTAGTGACTGCCAAGCTTTTCCAAGGAATCAGTTACTCCTGGAAAAGCTTCAAAGCTTCAGAATTACACAGGTCATTATTCCTTTATTTTAACATTCAGGGCAGTGGCATCACCTCACCTCCCCACAGTGTCTGCAGAAATGGAGAGGGTCCCCGTGCCTGTAGGAGGACTCCAGGCATGAACCATGGAGAACAGCAGAGCTTGTAACATGATCACAGGGTACAGCCACAAGACATACTGCATATAAAGCCTCTGTAGTAGGACTCGCTGCCCAGAAATGCTAAATGCATCCAAGGCAAGTAGTGCAAAGCAGCCATGTCCAAAAAAAAACAAGGTTAGCCACCCTCTCTCCCTGCAGCATATCAGCCATGACCCAGGACTTCTCTACTTTTTTCAGGTTTGGGCTTTAGCCTACCAAAAGAGGATTTTCTGTCATTTTACAGGGTAGTTATGCCCTGGAGCATGGAAGTAGGTACCAGGGGCTGTGATGTGTGCTAAATGAGTTCAGATAGTGGCAAAGAATAGGGCACTAAACCTGAGACAGACCCATACAGTCTGCTTGGTCTTTCTGCTTCACAGGATGCCTTTTAATTGATTCACTGTAAAAGAGAGGCTTACAGAACACTAGGATCTATGGAGTATTTTTGGTCAGGAGTGAGGAACTGCAGCTAACTCAGGCCATGACTTGTCAACACACATGGAAAACTCTCAGTTAAACGCAGCTGGAGGGTTTTGTGTGCTCCCGGAGACAAGCCTGAATCCAGCTCAGGACTTCCAGCTTTAGACCCCACACAGCCTATAGAATTGCTGTCGTGCTGTCATGGGGCTGCATCCACAGACAGGTATAGTCCATATATATAGTGATAATTCATCCTGATTCACTAAGAAGTAGGGTCAGCCCTTGATCACAAGATTTGGGAAGCCACTAAACATAAGTGAACTGTTTAACCTGAATACTTCCTCCATTTGCAAGTACAAACCAGACAACAAAAGACTTATTTGAGGATAGAGCACAGCCATGCCAAAAAGGAAAAGGACCTGGGGATATTGGTGCATGGCAAGCTGGACATGAGCCAGTAATGTGCTCTTGCAGCCCAGAAAGCCAACTGTATCCGGGGCTGCATCAAAAGAAACAGGGCCAGCAGGGCAAGGGAGGTGATCTTGTCCCTCTACTCTGTGTTGGTGATTCCTCACCTGGAGTACTGCATTAGAGATGTGAAGTACTCAGTACAGGAGACACATAGACCTGTTGGAACACATCCAGAAGAGGGCGACAAAAATGATCCAAGGGATGGAACACCTCTCCTATGAGGATAGGCTGAGAAAGCTGGGGATGTTCAGCTTGGAGAAGGCTCCAGGGAGACCTGAGAGCAGCCTTTCAGGATCTAAAGGGGAGCTACAGGAAAGAAAGGGACAAACTCTTTAGCAGTGTCTGTGGTCATACAGCAAGGGTTTCAAGCTTAAAGAGGTTAGATTTAGGTTAGATATAAGGAAAATGTCTTTTACAGTGAGGGTGGTGAAGCACTGGAACAGGTTGTCCAGAGAGGTGGTGGAAGCCTCATCCCTTGAGACTTTCAAGGTCAGGCTGGATGGAGCACTGATCTAGCTGTGCATGTCCCTGTTCATTGCAGGAGAGTTGGACTAGATGACCTTTAAATGTTCCTTCCAACTCTAAGGATTCTATGATTCTATGATTCAGTGATTCTATGATATTTAAAATCTATGACATAGAAGTTAACCAGCTTGCAGGAATATGAACAAAGTAGAGTGATGGACTTGCTTCACCTACTTGCTACAAGTGCTCCCTCCATGCTTTAGATGCTAATGTAATGCATTATCTGAAATCCTTGCAGCAAAAGTTTTAAGGTTACAATTTGCTAATAGGGTTAAAACGTAACCTGATACTTCTCCAAATGTACAGCAGCACAAAGGAGGATTTAAATTCCAGGCATGGATCAAAACATATGAGGTCAGGATCAGAACTTTTTTTCCCTGTAAGACAAGTCACAGAGCACAAAGCACAGCAGTACAACAATTCAAACACTCTGACCAGAGCACAGCCAGGAGTCAGATTCGGAATTCTGTCAAATTAAAAATAAAAAAAAAAACCAACTAAAAAGTGTCTACTACAGTGAAATGCTGTCCACATGAAGTCCAAGAAGGAAGGGAAAGATGCTTATTAGAAATTAGAGAGAAAGCCAACTCAATCCTGTTCAAAACAAGGTCAACCAATCTTTCACTCTCCTACCTCCTTGCAAATCATAGCAGAACCACAAGGGGGGAGCATAACCCAAGAATTCACATTTCTTGCCAAAATTTGACATCACACAATACCTACAATTGGGCACAATGGATTGATAATTGTAACACCATACTATCAAGCATTTGGCTTAATTCATTATTAAATTAACAATGAAGTGGTACCACTAATTAATACTGTTGGCTTCTACACTTGCCTATCCATACTCAGATGTGATTTTGGGGGAAAAGCAGAATTCTCCTTCTCTTACAGACAGGCAAATTTGTCTTATTTCCATTTCCAGAGTATGGGAACTAAGGCGGAGCATGGTACGCCACTTCATGCCAAGATGAAACAGGTGATAGATCCTCCTGCCCTGTTCTTTAGGTTTTCTCATGGCTTGAGCAAAAACTAGGACCTTGTAATTTCTCCAAATGTCCAGAGCAAACTTTCCCACACCTTTTACCCCTTTAACCTGCCAGCTCTCAGTCTAATGATTGACAAGCAAGAACCGAGCTTCATCTTTGGCAGCCCCACGTGTGCAAAACTTGCTCCAAAGTTTCTCAGAAAAAAGCCACTGCAGCTTTTATTGGCTCTGTATGGTAGCTGAGATTGAAAGAAAACACATTTGGAAAGTAATCACAGCTTCTGTGCTGGTATATTGACTTTCTTTCCAGGGCTCTAAGATTAACTGTCTAAGCAATATTTCTTAATAAATAAATAAATAAATAAATAAATAAAAGCATCTTTCTTGCACAGAGGCCCTCTTTCTGCAGAAAACAACAGTCTCAACAGAGTCCTTAACCCAACAGAGCAGTCTGTGAGACACACAGAAGGTAATTTGCTGGGCTGACTGGTGGTGAGGACTGCCAAGGTGACAGGCAGAATTTGGAAGGTTTGCAAGCATCTGGTTTGCTCTTCCACATGACACAGGCCAAAGAAACTCTCTTGGCTGTTTCTACATCAGAGCCAGAATTGCAGCATATTGCATGTACATAAGCGAATCCATTGCATAGGTAAGGACTGGAAGCCTCTTAGGTGTGCCTCCCCTGCTAGAGAGCATGGCCCACTTTCTAAATAACCTCATGTTACCTTTCTAGTCAGAACTCATCCAGCTTTTCCAGTCTTTGAATCACACCCTGATTCCTTTCTATTATCACACATTTCCTCCCCTGCATGGGTTTGTAGACTATGATCACATCAGCTCTTAACCTTTTCCTGGAACCATGTTTTACAAGGTCTTTGTCAGCCTCTGGGAATCTTTTCTGAATTTTTCTCCTACTGAGAAGTGACTCTTACAGTTTTCTCAAGGGCTTCATAGCTGGCTTTGGAAAGGACAATTGCTCAGTTTCTCAGTTGTAAATGATGCTTACACTGAGGTCAACAGCAAAATTAAACTGCAAATTCTCTGGCTCTGCTGTTTGATGACCTCTAGGCAAGAATTCAGTACAAGCAGGCATCTTTCCATCAGCTTGAGGCTCAGACCTACAGCTTCATCACAGCTTCAAGAAGCTTGGCTTTTGGAAATATATATGGATTTCTCAAGTATCTTAGAAGAATCAGTAAGAATAAAGAGACATTTAAAAATCCTCCTGTTGGCTGTTCATAACCTTTTCCCTTCCAGTTTTGTCCTGTGGCAGCTGGTGTTGAAAACAAAGCAGCTGAGTGTACCAGCACACAACATTCCAAGTGTCTTCCTTGTCCCTTCCGCTAAGGAGCATTTCCTCCCCCAGCTCAACCTTGCATATTTGGACCACTGTCCACCACCTCCTAGGACACCCTGACTAATGGGGTGAGCCTGATCTCCTCCAAAGGGTCTCAACACTAAAGCCTTCTGTGGCATACAGGGAAAAAAACTCAGTCCAGTCCCCATATCCAACACACAGAGGACCTAGTACTATGTTTTATATGCTGCAGTTAACACCCATTGCCTCTCATCTCTCATCACCCCATGGAACAGCCCATGATATGCTGCCTGTTGGCCACCAGAGTAGCACAAGGTAAATGAAAAATGAATGGGTCATGTTTTTCACAAAACGAGAGAGTGTACCCAATGAAGCGGTCAATCTGAAAGCAATATGGGAAGCTACTTTCTCCCCCAGCATATAACTAAATCTTTGACCTTTTTGTCACAGGATGCTATAAAGACAAAAAATATAAATGGGGATAAAAGGCACAAAACTAACCTTTGCAGGGTAGAATAACCAGTTGCTCTTCACATGTTGACTGGATGCAGTTCTTCGGCCAGGTAAACCCTAATGACACTGCTCATGGGGAACAGTCACCCTCAACACACTCAGTTCCATGAAAGCCTTCTGCTAGGACTGCAGACGTTGTCCTCAGTGAGGCAGGTCATTGGTCTTGTCATGTAATACTGCAAAGAGGAAAGATGTTCTTGGGATCAAAACTAAGAATACAAAGATACAAAAATCATCCCCATTTGTACTTCTGATTTTCTTCATGTTTTCCTGCATCAACCCAAGAAAAAACTATATGCAGTGTTAAAGTAGATGATATTTCTTTCTCATTCCTAATTGCAGTCTTGCTCTTTTAGACTGTAAGCTGCTCAATAATTTCTACAGATATACACAGTAATCTGTGTAACAGGACCTTGATCTCATTTGGGGAAATCTCTGCACTACTGTAACAGTGAATTTTCCTCCTATAAATACCCTGTGACTAATTCAAAATAAAATATTGGAGTAAACTGCAAAAAACTTGCTATATTAACATATGCCACCTGTCAAAAAATGAAGGCAAGACTTCTGTTGTACTAAATGCTATGTCCATGTAAAGAACTATTGCAATACATTTATGTAAATTCTTCCTGTTTTTATAGCATCTAAATACCTTGAACTCAAGAGTCATGACAAAAATTAATAAACTCCAATTGCTTCTGTTGGCATTTCTCCCAGATTTCCCACTAGGTAAACACCTGTTTATTTATCTGCTTTACAGCTACTAGGCCTTGAGGGATAAGAGTCGGAGTTGGTGTTATAGAATTCCTACACTGGAACAATTTCTCCAAAAGGGAAAATTTTTAGCTTTTCCTAATAGTCAGATTTGTCAGCTCTTCTTTGGAAATGTATCCCATGGCTACTGCACCTTCAATGTGAAATAAAAAGAAACCAGTTTTGAATAAAGATGACTGTAAACTTGACTTTCTGAGGATGTATTGCTGCATTTACTACACTGGGTGAAATGTATTGTGATGTTCTACTTTATGTTTTTGGTCTTGTTTTATTTTTTTTTTTTTTTTGTGAAAGGGGATGATGGTGAAAAAGGAGATAGAGGAGAAGTGGGCAAACAAGGAAAAGTTGGACCAAAAGGACCTAAAGGTATTTATGATGGTTTGTTGGCTATTATTGGTATATGAATATCAATATAGAATCACAGAATGGCCCAGGTTGGAAAGGACCTCAAGGATCATGAATCTCCAACCCCCCGCCACATGCAGGGCCATCAACCTCCTCATTTAATACTAGACCTGCTGCCCAGGGCCCCATCCAACCTGGCCTTGAACACCTCCAGGGACGGGGCATCCAAAGCCTCTCTGGGCAGCCTGTTCCAGCACCTCACCACTCTCATAGTAAAGACACACATACAATGCATTTAAGATCAGTGCTGTTTAATGCTTTTCATTCCTTTTGCTCCAGTGGATTTCACAATGCCTGTCAAACATTAATCAGTGAACCTAACCATGTTCTGAGAGCTTGGTGCAATACCTGCCAATACATAATGAGAGTCTGGCAATAAATGTAAATAGTCACATAATAAACCAGCACATTGACTGTTGCTCTCTCAAGTGGTGACCATGACTGAGATCTAGAAGACTGACACCCTCATACGTATAATCAGAAAGAATAAGGTTACATAATGAAGTGTAGAAGAGAATTTTGAATCATGATGCTCAGCAAAACTCAGTCTCAGCTGTCCTCTTTTACAGAAAAGCAAACTGAGGCCCACAGAGAAACACAGTTCCTCTGACCAAGCAGGAGCATCAGAGCTGAGAGCAAAGAGCATAAGATGTCTCAAGACTCAGCTCTATTAAACAAATCTCATACCTTCTCAGTTGCCTGAGCACAGCACTCTGTGCCACCAGACAAGACAGCATCAGCCTTGTTTGCATGTATTAACTCCAAAGCTTAAGGTGCCAGTAAGTGGATAATGCATATCCACGTTTCTTTCTTCACTGTCAGTGGTCCAATATTCTAAGAGTAAGGTTTTTACTTGTATAGAATCTTTAAAATTGTCCTGTTATTACTATTGTAATTAAAATCTTTTTCGTTTTTAAATGCATTCAGAGGACTTCACATCTTACTTTAATTAGATCAGGTAAAAAAATAAACAAATAAACCAATCCTTAACAAGCATCTTAGTGATGTTATCTTGAGTGTAAACAGTGAGAATTTCTAAGCTGCTCTCTTACAATCAACCAGCTACTTCAGAACTTACACTGCTAACCAGTCAGAAAGGCAACCAGTATTTTGGTGCTCCAAGGACTGGGAAGCAAGCACAGTGCAAGCAGCAGCTCCTTACGTGCACTTTTGCGTCCAGAAGGATTCCCAGCAAAAACCTGAGAACTTCACCTCCAGAGCAAAGCAAAGGCTTTTGTCTACTGTAGAGAAATAGTAATAAAATAAAATAATAATAATTTAAAAAATGAAACAGAAAAAAGACACACTTCCCAGCAACTTGCTGATGGTATAGTTTAGTTGTGAAGTAAAATCAATACCTGAATACTCACTAGCAGTTTTAGTTTATAATTTCTATATGAAAATATGAAGTTTCTGGCAGATGAACAGGCAGTTTTACTAAGCTGCCTTGCAGAGTTCTACTGGTCCCCCAGCAGCTGTGATCTGAGCTGCATGCAGCCACAACAGACCTGGTTTAAGTGCTTTTCTGGCACTGGAGTCACTTTGATGTTCCCTGCCAGAGTGGGGCTGCCAGCAGCCATGTGGCTGACAGAAGAGCCTCAGCAGCCCAGGTTGGTACAAGCAAGTCTAAATAAAAGCTAAAGCTGTAAAGCTTGCAATGTGTTCATGTGTATACTCACACAAGCATGTTTGTTTTGTCTGTCTTACACTGGGACTTGCCATGCTCAGAAAAAACAGCAGCAGTAGAGGGGTTGCATTTCAGAGAAGGAACAACAGAAGTCATCCATACTCTTCCTCATATTTCTTCTCTCAGGAAACAAAGGAACTGTGGGTGATGTCGGTGACCAGGGAATGCTTGGGAAAATCGGTCCGATTGGTGGAAAAGGTAAGCCCTGGCTTGGGAATTTTCTTGTGTTTCTTCTTCAAAGTAAATATGTATTTTGTGTGAGTTCCAGGTATTGAGTATCATCAAATACTGGCTGCAGCTGGTGCTCTCCAAAGAAAATGATACAGAAAGATCAGTGATTAGAGCTAACTGAAATATTTATGTTTCCCACATGCAATATATCGCTTACTTGGCTAAAAGTAGTTTGCTCAATAGGTTAAGAAATCAGTCCTTGGAGATGATAGAAGATAAAGGGGGAAATCTGGGCCTGGTGAAAAAAAATAGCACAAATCCTCTGTTACCTCAAAAAGAGAAAGCCAGTTTCATGCCCCTGTATCCAGTGTTGAAGGGCCGGAGCCAATACTCTGCTGCTGCTCCAGTTGCCACACCTGCACTGTGCAAGAAGTGTGCAGGATAGCAAGGTAAGGAGAGGATTTTAAGAGTTTTAAGAGAGAACTTACATAACAAAGAATAACTACTCCACACAAATGAAGGTAAGACTCCAACCCTACTTGGGTAATCATTCCATGAAATTATTGCTCTAGCATCCTGAAGAGATTAGGCATTCCTTTTAGAGCTGAAGAAAAAGAAATATTACTTCTGCCATAGTGAGATCTGCCTTAGCAACTCACCAGGGATCCACTATCCTAAGGGGAACTCTGTGGTCTCTAACCAAGCAATTGATCCAGCCAAGCAGGTGAGTGGGTGGAACAACTTATTGTGGGAGCTTCTCACAACAGTGCCTTTTAATAAACCCACGATGGCCTCCAGCCAACCCCACTATCAGAGAAGAACAAAAGAATTTGGCCTGGGGGATTCATTTTCAAAACACCTAGACAACTGAAGACACAGATACCTATACCTCCTAAGGTGTTTTCAATCACCAAAGGAAACTAGAATATAAGAATCCCACAAATTGTTTATCTGAAAGTAAACCGATGCTCTAAGCCTCTAAGCTGTCTGTCAACCTGACTGTACAATTTATTGGCCCTTTGTACGTGGGTCTATTTTTCTCATTTCCTTTTTCATGTGCAGAAGCAAAGGCCACTAAGTCACTCTTTAGACTTACCATTAAACATTCAATTTCTTAAGGAAGCAACCCTGAAATTTCAGCATATAAGTGGGCAGGGTGCCAAGCAAAGTTAACTCAAATGCCAGTCAGCTACTGATTTCTTTCATTAAAAAATACGACCATATAAAAGAATAATCACATCAAAACATAGCTATCAATGAGGGAGAGCATGTATTAACACTAGTTGGCCTCTGAAGGTTTTAATTTATAAAAGAAGTGCTGACATTAATTTCAGACAAAGTCCATCTGCTCCTGAGCTACACAGCTGAGACTTTTGACAGCTGTCAAATTATAGCTGAGGTCATTAAAAAACAGGCTGGCCACCTGTATTTAGATATTAGCATGGCATTTGGAGAAGCAGTTATTCCATTTTTTTTTTATGATGCACAGAACTAGAGGAAAGCAAGAGAAAAATAAATAATCTTTCCATAAACTATATCTGAAATGAAACACTGCTCCCTAGTGACCTCATTTTGTGCAGGTGCTAACTGCTGCCCACAAACAGCAGCTGAACCAGTCGCACACGTGAATTCTGGGCCCCAGTGCCCACCGGCCTCATCTGTTGCCTTGTCCTGACGTGAAGCTGCCAAACCCAGGAAGGTCCTGCACGGCAGCGAGTGGCCAGGTTTCACCTGCCACTGATTCCTGAGTGCTTGCAGCCTCTCGGAATCATGGTGCAGTTTATATTTAAAGCAGTACCAGGAACCAGCAGCACACAACATGCCTGTGTTATCGGCGAGTTAGTTATTAAAGTGTTCTCACTTGTTTTCATTAATCATGGCTTGTTTGACTTGGCTCATTGGCCAGTAGAGTGCATTAGGCCTTCCTATTAGAAGCACACCACTAATATATTATTAAACAGGTTTTTCAGATATGCTCCCCTGACATATGCATCATCTGAGATCTGAGAATATATTTTCCTCTTTATCCAGGTGACAAAGGTGCCAAAGGCATATCAGGGGTGTCTGGAAAAAAAGGAAAAGCAGGTATGCTGGGCATCTTTCTCTGAAGAAGGCTTGAGTTTGCTTATGTTGGGTCTTCAGTTTCAGGGTTGGTTTGTCCAGATGTTGAGGCCCATAGACGTCGGAATGGGTGAAACAAACAGGAGGAGTGTGAAAAGTTTTGTTTAGCAAAGTAAGGCTAGGGACATGAGTGATGGCGATGCTACACAGCATAGGGAGAAACTATATAAATGAATGGGCAATGGTTGATAACATAAAACTGAATGTATCAATAGGTAAGGAGAAGTTTAATACTGAAAACTGGAAAGTTTCTGAATACCAAAGAAATGGACTACTTTAATAGTCTTCTCTTAGAAGCACCGAGAAAAAAATGTATGTAATTTTAGAAAGATCATAATTTGTTGTCAAATGAATGCAACACACTGGCTTACAGGAGGAGAATTCAGATTTGATCACCCAGAAGGTTCCTCTCAGTCCAAATAACCATGGGTGTTTTCCCACCTCCAGTGTCCAACTGTGTTCATTTTTAAGGCATTCCATATGGTTCATCAGATTGGCTTTAGCAAGAAACCATCACCAACTTGTTTTCTTCCTGAGAATTAGAAAGGAAGAAACAAAACCTATGTCAAGTCAAATTTCAGTTTAACAGCCAAAAACACAACCTAGACTTCAGTGCTTGACAGCTACTGATTATCTGAGTTGGCATCAACTATTTCTGCTGTACCACAGCTGCATGCAGCTAACGTGGTCCATCCAACAAGGTTTCTCCAGTCCCACCTCAATGCCCACTTCGAATAATCTTTCACTGAGAAAACAGTGGTGAAGTTGTTTCTATCAGAAGTCTAGGGAATCACTGCTGTCAGTGGATGCAAAGGTGCAAAAGGATACATTTATCATTCAGATGTAACACTGTGAGATCAACACAGTAAACCACACATCCGCAGTCAGATGGATGTGATAATAAGAAGGGCACTGAATGTGTAAATGCTACTCTGATATGGGTGGAAGGAAGATGGCAAACTTTCATCTGCAAAAAATATATACATATTTCTGAACAGATAAATTCTCTGTCCTCTGTATTGCAACAGGCACGGTCTGTGACTGTGGAAGGTACCGCAGAGTTGTTGGACAACTGAATATCAATGTTGCTCGGCTTAACACATCCATCAAGTTTGTAAAGAATGGTAAGGATCATCATGTATTTGATGTGATTTATTTGGCTCTTACAACATTTATCACAGCTATTCTCCCACTACTGCTGTTCTACAGCAGCACACAGGCCAAGACAGAGGGTCCCACTGTGCGATGCACTCCAAAAGCATACAGAAAAGAGAGTTTGGCACCTGTAAGAATATAAGCAGCTGGTGAAAGCAACTACAGTACAGCAATGATCAATAGCACAGCAGAAATAATCATGACTGAACAAGGCACAGCTTGCTAACTGCCTCTGCCCTTTCAGCCTGCTCACCCTCAGACTCAGTGGCCATTCACACAACAAAAGGGAAAAGGTTGTGCCAGTCTGATCCATAGAGCCAGAAAAAGCACTAGGAACCTCTTCATCTTGCTGCTGCTGCACAGAAGAGCTGCACTCATTCACGGGGCTCCTCCCATGCCTCCCTTCACTGAAAGCATCTTTCTGTGTAATAAGGGAGATACCAACACCCCAAAAACATGGGTTATAACAAGTCACATCTATAGGCAGTGCTGACAGCAGGACAATGCAAAATGCCCCTCCTGAAAGGAAAGAAGAGTATTTCCTGTTGTAGCAGAGATTTTGGAAAGGCTCCACAACCACTTCTTGGACTCAGTCTAATCTGGAAATTAAATGTGCCAGAGGCCGTTCTCTGGCTCTATGGGCAACTGGCACACTCTCATTGTATTGCTAAATCCTACAGAACTGAGTGGTCCTCTGCTAACTGCTCGACTGTTTCTGGAGTAGCTCCAGAATTCGGGGATTGTTATTTGCCTGCAGCCAAAGCTGTGACCAGGACTACTCCAGCAATCCAAGAGCAGGGACAAACTGGCACCAGCTACCCAGGAATGTTTCTTGGCACTGCTTAATTCACTAGAGTATCTGCTGCCTGAGAGATCTGCCTTTTAAAGTTGCTGAGCAGCCACACTTTCCTTCCTGTTCAGTGTCCCTTAGTGGTTACATCAGCTGTGAACATCAGGCACTATTTAAAACGACTTATTTTAGCAGTCTCTTTGACTTTCATGTATATTGAAAAGGCCCCAGTTATTCAATTCCCCCGTGTTCCTATCTCACAGCACTCTCACAATCTGGAACACAATATGGCAATAGTATACAAAGCAACTGGGGTGATCCAGAGTTACTCACTGCTACTTGTCCATTCAGCATGCCTTGATTTGGTAACTTCAAGGATGTCCAGTACAAAACAGTCACAGGGGACACATGCCACTCAGGACTGAATGTGTGTACGGTTCTTGTCATTCCTACTGGTAGCATCAGTCTCTGATTATGTCTTTATTGTTCACCTTAAATCCAGTGGTGGGAACAATTTACCTATCTTCCTTTCATTAATGCTAATGTAAAAACCATCTTCTAGTCATAGTGAGACAGAAGAACCTTCAATAGCTGTTAAAATGCCATTAAAGATTTATTTTTCCCCTTTAAAGTTATAGCAGGCATCAGGGAGACGGATGAAAAATTCTACTATATTGTCAAAGAAGAGAAGAATTACAGAGAAGCCATGATGCACTGCAGAGACAGAGGAGGAACACTGGCCATGCCTAAAGATGAGGCAACCAACGCCCTTCTTGCTAACTACATCTCCTCAAGTGGCCTTTTCCGAGCATTCATTGGGATAAATGACATGGAAAAAGAAGGGCAGTTTGTATATGCAGACAGCAGCCCGCTGCAAAACTACAGTAACTGGAAGGATGGGGAGCCTCACGACTCCACAGGCCATGAGGACTGCGTGGAAATGCTCAGCACAGGAGAGTGGAATGACTCTGAGTGTCAAGTCACCATCTACTTCATCTGTGAGTTCCTCAAGAAGAGAAAATAAACGTGCAACAAAAGATGTCTGGCACCTTCTGTACACACAGTAACCCGTCCTCATTCATCCACTGTAGGGAATACAGATAAACAAGGATAGGGCTCAATCCAGCATGGACTGGGTTAACCAAGAGTAACTAATGCGATATGGCAGTGACCATAAAGCCAGCTCAGGTCTGCAGGGGACATCCAGCCAACTGTGAATTTTTATTTCATTTTTATGTATAATTGAAGGTGGCTGGGAAAATTTAAAGCACATGGAGGCAAACATAATTTCACTAATGCAGTGGAGGACTCACCTCTGCTTCTCACTCAATCACCTGCTTGGTTGGCTGAGGTGTGAGGAATAAAGCAATGGCACTTCTGCAGGTCTGCACAGTTTGCCTGCAACCTGAGAACAGAAGGAACACTTCTAACCTCTGATGCCTCCAAAAAGGTGTGCAAGAATCTAGAAAAGTCCAACATAAAGAAAACAATACAAAGGAAGCAAAGCCACTGCTGTAGGCTGTAAACAAACAGTGCAGAATTTGCTGTCAGAGCCTGGCTCCTCAGTTATCCATGTCAGCATGTTCATAATGGATCAGATTTTCATATTGTTGCTAATACCAAAGGAACGCATTCCTGCATACAGTGGAAGAGCTCACATTCACATGGCTTCTACGACACCACTGCCAGGACTGCTCTGAAGTCCAGGATGCTCCTGAGACACAGCATCCATTTTACCTTCAGAAGTGAGCCTGTTTATTGTTAGTTTTTCTTCATGTTGCTTAAAATTCTCACCTTTCCTCACAGCAGGAGATGCTAGTAAAGACTCCTGCAAGATAGTGTAGATTTTCTCCCCCACTTGGAACTAAAAAGGGAAAAATGCTATTTGGAAGCCGAGAACACTGGGCACTAGTCATAGTGCAGCCAATGCACACTGCAGGTCACTTTCAGCATTGTTTGCAAAATGTTTCTCTGGATATAAAGAGCTGGACATGAAGGCAGTCCCATCAGCGAGCAATGCAGAGGGTCAGCTCTTAAGTTTCCTCTTGCAGCTGTATACAGCACTGCAGCTGTCATACTTAGTCAGCCTGCTCTTTGACAGTAAAATCCTCCATACCATTTTCCAGTGGGTAGTTTGCCTTCAAGCTCATCTCTGAGCAATGGCCAACACCGAAGCATCCCAGGAGACTCTGTGACTCAGAGCTACTTTTCTAAGCCTGTTTATCTGCTACTTGTTCTTCCAGAAAACCATTTGTTGCTACCAGCAGTAAATTACCTGTGTTGCTACACATCCTCCAAGGAACTATTCAGTCCCAAGAATGCAGGTGTGTGACCACATATATTTTCATTGCTCCCCAACTATGTTATGAGTGTAATTCAGCAAACAGGTTTGCTTAGCACAATGTACCTCATCCTTAATTGTTCCCTTCCTGAGAATTTATACTTCCCAAATCAAGCAGAATTACACTTTTTAGGATCTACTGTAATAAACTTGTTATTTGGGTTTTAGAATCATTAATGATTAATGATAAAGAATTAATGGAAAAAGTTTCTTGAGGAAAAGTAGTGCTTTGAGTGCCTTGTTTCTTGAGGAAGAGTAGTGAGTGTCAGGTCCAGACACTCACAGTATGTCAATTCTTACTAGTCATGAGGAAATGGCACACTGACATTCCAGTGGGTAGACACGAACACACTACTACTCACCTTCCCACCCTCCCTATCCTTACCTCTCACCCAAAATGTACCAAAACACGCTTGCCAGACTGGGGGGGGTTCTACATTCTGGAACTGTCTGACCATATTGGAATCACTGGCAGACAAAAACCAAACATTCCTTTTATGCTGACAATCATCATTAGTAGGCCATTTTCCTGTTCTTCAGGAGGAACCTTAAAGCTAGAAGGTAAAGCAGCAGAAATACTCTTGCTGCAGGATCAAGTTCTGCCTAAGATTTGACCAGGCAGTCTTCTTCACATACAAAATTAAGGAACAAGTGTCTAGATTGAAGCAAAAAAAAAGCAGCTGGATTTCACTGACTCTTCTAGCAGACAGCAAGTTACAAATAATCCAGGACCATGCTCGACACATAGGAAGGAATGACTTCCCATGGTTGAGGGAATTAAGTGAGGAACTTGGGTTGGGTTTCTGCAGTGGAAAGGCTGCAACTGCCTCCAGCCTCCACCTCACCGACCACACCAGTTTCACTCTTTCTTAAATAGAAAAAATAAACAAAAACAACCCTTCTAGCCTCTGTGCATTCATTGGGCAAGTAGACCCTGGCTGGCTGTTTCTTTGCTAACTACAGAAGAGGGACACCAGAGGATAACAGCACAGATTTTCAAACTAGCAAGGCATATGCAAGATCATGTGCTCGTGCAAACCATTCCTGCATCACTGAGTCGCAGTGAATTTTGCCAAGAAGTCTAGCTCATAGGCCAAGCCAAATAAGACAGTGCACCATACAGGAAACCTGGCAGGTAAGTCCATATAACACTGTACCATGCAGACACAAGCTTAAGCTTGCACTAACTCAAAGATTATAGCTGTGTTTTGCAGGAAAAATATGCCAGTTATAATTAAGAATTTGGGCTATATCACAGGTTTCATTGCTAGCCAATGGAAAATCACTGTGGTGGGTAAAGGTTCTTAGGTTTCTACATGAAGTGGCTGGATCCAGGAGCACAGGAAATGGTGTCTGACTATTCAGGATTTGTGGTCTGTTGGAGCAGGGTACTTAAACCATTTTACCTAATCCCAATATTATGCTTTTCCCATGTTTTTCTTTTCCTCATACCCAGTCTGAAACTTTCTTGTTTCAATTTATACCCTCTGTTATTTGTACTTACACCAGACACCACTGCGTAGAGCCTTGCTTCATTTTCTCAAAGACTCTCCTATAGGTCCTAGCATACAGCCACCAGGTTCATGCAAAGTGACTTCTATAGGCTGAATAAATCCACTTCTCTTACCACCTCCTCACTATCCTCAGCAGAAAATGCTACAGTTTCCCATGCCTTTCCTGAATGGAGTTGCTTAAAAGTGCAGGGTGGCTAGATGTGGTCTAATAAGTGATGACTGGGAGGAAAATCCCTTCTTTGATCTCCTGGCAGTGCCCTGCTAACACAGTCAAGGGTGCTGTGAGCCTTCTCTGCTGCTAGGCCCCATTCTGTGTCATAGGCAGTGCTGTCTGCCAGATTTCCCAGGGGACTTCTCCGTAAAGTCAGTCAGCACCAGCCTGTCTCAGTCTAGAGTTCTGCCTTCCTAGCTGCAGGAAACTTTGCATTTGTCCTTGCTGAGTTCCATAAGGTTCCTGTCAGTCCAACTCTCCAGCCAACCCAGCTTCGTCTGCACTGCAGCCCTGCCTGTGAGTGTATTGGCTGTTCCCTCCAACTTGGTGCCTTGAAACCTAATGAAAATGGACTTTGTCATCTCCTCCAGCTAATTGAGAGATGTAAAACATGACAGTTCCAGTATATAGACCATAATGTCCTAAATCAGATACAAAAATATTGTTGGAGACACAGTGTCAAAAGCCTTGCTAAAGTTGAGATAAATGACATCCATTGCTCCCCCTCATTCACAGATCCAGTCATTTTATTGCAGAAATCAACCTGGCTGGTCAGGCATGATTTACCCTTAGAAAATGGTTGTTCCCAGTCAGCTTCTTCTCATTTATATGCTCTAAGAGGACTACTCTAAGTTCCTTAAGGATCAATGTGATGCTGATGATTTTAAAGGAGGGAGGAACATTTGCCTATTCCAGACATTAGAAAACTGCTCACCATAACCTTTCCAAGTTAGAGAGGCCTTGCAACCAGTTTCCTCAGGACCTTGGATGCGTTCTGTCTGGTCCCACGGAGTTTTCTGATGAAACTCTCACAGAAAATCCCTTACTCAGCCATCAGCTATGGCTAATCATTCTCTGAACACTTTCCCTAAGCACAGAAGAATGGGATAACATGTTGATAAGGAAGGCAGAGAGACCATAGAATGCTTCATTTTCAGGTGTCTGTTGTCACTGCATCACTTGCTTCGTTCAGCTCCATTTTCTTTGCTCAGCGTTTTCTGATTGATACAGTGGTAGTTGTTGTTCTCGTTGCCCTCACCTATGCAAGTCTCGACTTCATTTAAGCTTTGAATTTCCTAATGCTGCCCTACATACTAAGGTAGCATTTCAAAATTATTCCCCTGCTGCTCATCCCTGCTTCCACCTCCTCTTTTCTACTTTTTTGCTTTGGAAATACACCAGGAACAGCCCCTTTTCAGCCACACCAACTTCCTGATACATCTGCTTGTAGACAAACAAGTCAGCTGCGTAATATCTTGCTAAATCATACCAGGAATACTTCAGTTTCTGTCTTGCTCTGTAGAATTGGGAATTCATGATCTCCTACATTCTGTAAATTGTCACTTCTATACAAGCATTAACCTCCTGCTGGCATCAGGCATAGAATGTACATAATATGCAGATACTCATGGTAAGTATAATATTCTGAACAACAATTCCAATTAAAAAGATTACAAAATAAATATATCTCATTAGGACTATATTTATTTCAAGCATCCCAAGCAATCTCACATGGGTATAAAGCAGATCCACTTCTTTCACTGCCTTTAATGTAGTCAAGCACTTTAAAAATAAAAAAATACTTAATACCAAAAGCAATGGGGTTCCAAATTCTTGACCACAGCCACCGGAATATACAGGCATCTCTACTTAGTTTCATATACAGTCTTCAATGGTACATTTTAGTTGTAGTTCAACCACATGAAACAGTTTTAAAGAGAAGTAATTTCACACCGTGTGATGATGAAAATGGTAAATGTGTCACAGGGAGAGTGATCAGCTTCTGGTTATGTTGGAAGGCATTATTCTAGAACTGTCTTGGTGTAATACATTTGCACATTTATACAAAAGACATGGATTGCCATTTCATTTTTCCTTTGTTAAAGTCACACCTAATCTACTCAACGTGCATAAGAAAGAATGAGGAAGATCAAAGCAGCAGTGTAATCTGGGTTATTTTGTACTTGTGGGAGGGGAGAACAGCGAATTGCAAAAGAATTCTGTGATCCTGGCCTACCTGTGGCATGCGGTGCAGCCCCACACCCCACCCTCTTGGGCCTGGAAAGGTTCTCCACGTTGATGTTTCAACACAGAGGAAAAGTTTCACTGGATTTTTATTATGTGGGTGAGGCCAGGAACTTGCATCACCCTGTTTTGCAGAAAGCAGCAGTGACCTACCAAAACACAGTAGGAGCCTACCAAAGCACAGAGTTAACCTCGCAGAAATTTTCCCAGCTGGGAAGTGTGTGTGATCATGCTCATTTTTGAATTGTAATCTGTAAGACCTGTTCCATCCTCCATGTCATAGCTACACTTAAATCCCATGGTCCTGTGCCTAAACAAGAGCAGATCTCCTGACGATGGTACAGTAAAGGGGCTGTTGCTTCCTATCAGCACAAAGCAGAATAGTGTGGACCCATCTGCAGAGCTGTGACCTTCCCATACACTGTAAATTCATTTCACTATGTATCATCCCTCTCCACCCAGATAATAGCTGTATTAGTTTTTCTTACGTGTTTTAGAAAACAGCCATAACTTTGCAAAAGTAGCCAGATGCCAATTATTGCTTTGGTCTTAATGTTTCAGGCATAGTTCAATCCTTAAGAGTATAATAAATATAAGTAATGTCTCTTTGGAAATTTATTTCAGCCATGAATCCTCTGTTCATTTTTTCCCTTCAGTAGATGTTTCAAGCTATCTTAATAACCTCTCAGCAGCATATTGTCCAGCAAGAGATGCTAGTTTCCCCAGCTTCATACAATAGAAGCCTTTGTAGCAGTCACCACACAACATTCCAGGAGCACGTGGGACACTACACCAGGCGGAGGGTGGAAGGAGGAACAATGATCAACACTTAGTCAGGAGATAACACAAAACATTGCAGAAAAATGTGAATATGGAGTTGGCGGATGCTTAGCATGTGAACTGTGGAATTTGTTTCTCACTGAGAGCCAGTCTTTAAGTCTTGAAAATGTTTAAAAGCTCATCTGAGAAAATCTAAAAGGCTGTCAGGAAATCCAAGGAGAAATCTAAATTTCTCCAGGAACGCAGGAATCCCAGAGCTACTTCTTAGTTCATGTATGTAACTGACAGCTTTCTCAGGGCTTGAAGAAGTAGAATTATGTTTTCTGTGACAACAAGGACAATTTAAAAAGTTTCCTTGTGAAAGGCACACTTTTTCATTCCTATTTTCTCAGATATTAACTTTTTTGAGCGTAGGCATATACCATTGGACATATTAAAGTTTATGCAAGGAATGCATATGACTGTTTTGAATATGGTTTTATCCCTGGATAGGACAGTGTGTGACAGGTGATAGCGAGTAGACATGCCCTACCATGACATGCCACTAGAAGATCTCATCAAACAGAAAATAAGAACAGTATAATAACTAACCAATTATTACTATTACTAGAAGCAGAATATCTCTACATCAGTGCTATACAAGTAGCCACAAGTGTTTGGGAAGCAGAGGAATGAGAAAGATGGAAGGTTATGGAATAGGGTAGGTATCCTTGCTTATACTTCCCAGTTGTTCTAATTACATATAACTCATTTATGTCAGAAGATTCAGGCTGTGGTTCCTCCTAATATACAGGAATCTGATTTGTAAAAATGGGACACTGTACTAAGTGGAGATGAAGTGGAGAGTAGAAGGACCAGCAGTGATGATCAGTCAGTAAGGAGAAGATTAAGATGCAGAGACGTTGGATTGCATATTCTCTTAGCAGTCCCTGCACTCATCCCATTTTGGTCATTGCAGTCACGGAATTTTCTCTGTGCATGGATAACGGAATCAGCCAGTCCCTACTCCAATGGAGATGAGGCTTTCTTGAAAAGCTGGAAATGAGAGCTAGCTACCTGTGTGACTCAGCAAAAAAACAGAAAGCAGAGTTTAGTCAGGAGAGATCTGGAAAAATACAAAGAGAGTACCTTAGAAGCCCAGCCTTGTGTTGGAGACTTTCCAGGAGACCACTTCTAGGGCAAGAAGAAAGATTTGTAGGATCACAGCACAATCTTACACTAGCAAAAATCTGAAAGAAGAGATTTTCCAAAGAGCCAGACTGGACATGTAATGAAGTACTGGGAAGAAAAAGGTTGTTTATGTTGAAGGTTAAGGTCCTCCAAATATGGATAAACGTGGATTCCACTGACCACCAGCTGATGACAACTGCCTCTGTAGGGCTGGGAAGATTTGAGACAGAAGTCATGCACTCAACTGAGTGCGCGTGGGGGAGGCTGGAGAGGGTTTTATGTCTGCTGTAGATCCAAGAACGTCTGTTTGCTTCATGTTTGCCACAGAACATCCAAGTGTTTGCAAGACAACACCCACACTGCTTACAGACACAAGAGGCTGGGAAGATAAGCTCCTCATTCTGTGGCAAAGATTCCAATTGCTAGCAACACCTGTCCTACTTTGTGCTTTGTGCTGGGGGCATGGTGGTGATGGGTTGATGGTTGGACTTCATGATCTTTGGGATCTTTTCCTACCTTAATGATTCTACGAACTCTATGAAGACTCTGGAGGGAAGCCAGGACAGGCTGATAAGCAACAGGCCTGAATGGGCTTGCTCTTGCAACTTAGCATGCCAGGTGTTGACAAAAAGGAAAACACAGACTTTGACGGCAAAGATAAACATCAAGATTTTTCAGTCATCATGTCAAACATACTTGGAATCATGGCATACACAGTCTCTTCAAGCTATGTTCTCTCAATCATGTTAGTCAACCAGCCTGGAATTCTATCTGACACATTCTGGAGATAGACAACATTGGGGAAAAACTGCAGTTCGGTCCAGGGTTTTTTTCACACTAACTTTAATTATCAACAAGGTAAATGTCTCGACCAGGCCTAGCCACTGTAAACTTCCATTATAGTTGAATCAATCAATCAAACACGAATGATATTTTCAGTTACCTACTTCAGCAGGAAGAAAGTCATTCTTCAAATGTAGCCATTTCTTTGCCATTTTCTAGTTCAGAGGTACAGAGACACTTGGTCAGTCAAATCCATCTCTTCTATTTTTCACCGTGCATCAGAAACCTCAAGGATTTCATTCTAGGTTAATAATTTCCTTGGGAATATAGCTAAATGTAGAAGTGTATGAACACTATATTAGTTCAGTACAACAAACTGCATCTTCAAAGCACCATATAAACATTAACTTCTACTAATAGACTATTCTATTAGTAAAATAATGCACAGGATACTGACCTACTTATTTTGCTATGTAAAACTAATGAGCTGTTTGGTTTGGGTTTTTTTGACCACTTATTTCTCCTTCCTCTAAATACCTGCAGATTAAAATGTAAGCTATTTAAACAGCTCCACAAAACTACTGTTAGGAAGAAAATGGAAAGGCAAGTATTTGAAACACACGCTACATATTTTAGACACTCAGAAGGATATGTGAATGTGAGATCCCACCCTGAATCTGATTCCAGAGTAGAGGACTATTTTTGTTTGGAACAAGAGATGTTCAGGGAGACTGCACTTTTAAGTTCAGTTGGTTTTGGTTTTCAGTTAGTCTTGTAAATAAGCTACAATTTTTTTCTGGTAGCTCATTCATCTTGTCTTTCCCTCCCCTCATTCAGAATCTCCAAGGACAACGTACAGCTCCAGCCTAATGAGTGGCAAGTCCACTCTGCCCTCATGAGGTCCTAACTGGAGTACTGGCATTCTGGTCTGGGACTCCCAACACAAGAAAGACATAGAGCCGTTGGAATAGGTTCAGAGGGCCACGAAGATGATCAGAGGTCTGGAGCACTCCTCCTAAAAGGAAAGGCTGACAGAGCTGGGCTTTTTCAGCACGAAAAAGAGGAGTCGCAGGGGAGACCTCACTGCGGCCTTCCAATACTTAAAGAAAGCTTAAGAACATGAGTGAGAGTGACTCTCCACATGGGCACGTAGTGACTGGACTAGGGAGAATGGTTGTAAACTGAAAGTGGGAGAATTTAGGTTAGATGATAGGAGGAAATTCTTCACTCACAGGGTGGTAAGGCAGTGGAACAGGATGCTCAGAGAAGTTCTGGATATCCTATTCCTGAGGGTGTTCAAGACCAGGCTGACAAGGGCCCCAGTAAACTTGATCCGATGGGTGGCAACCCTGCTCAAGGCAGAGGTGGTGAAACCGGGTGGGTTTTAAGGTTCCTTCCAACCCAACCCATTCTATGATTCACTGTAAAGGATGACAGCACTCACTACAAAGGAGGAGCATGTACAAGAAGTGGAAAGACAGCACAGAAAAGCACTGATGAACACAAGACTAGCAGCTGTGAATGAATTAGAATATTCACCGGTATTATCTGGGTTAGTAGCTGCTGTGATTGTCCCATTAAAATTATAAAGTGAAATAGTTGTTTTTTAACTTATTTTTCATAGTCTGAACCACATCATAGCAGTGTGTCTCAGTGTGAAGATAGCACAAACCACATCACCTTGCTTTATGAACCCTAAGTTAAAGAATGCTAGTAGAATGATAGATTGCTTTCTATCTAGAAATTGCATGCATAATACTTCTTTATGAAGGACACCAGGCTAACTGGAATGCAGTGTAGCTTGTTTAGGATTTATGAAAGAGAAGAAAGAAAAAAATCTCAAACTTGTTTTCCTGTGAATCAAGACCTACTTAATCAAATGCTTCGACTTACCAAAACACTGTGTAAGAACCAGAGGCTGAGTTCAGTAGGAGTCTGCTGTTAAGCTCAGTAGGAGCGGAGTAGTTGAGATAGGCCTGAAGATATATACTCACAGTAATTCCCTGTTTATAAGTACTTGTCAGTTCATTGTATTTGCAGCCAAGATTCCTCAAGCGTATTCCCCAGAATTGAATCCTTATGCACATGGGAGTAATCACAGTTTTTCCTAAACTCACAGTGTGATTAGAAATAAAGATATTGCTCTTACGTGTTATGCTAACTTGGTTGAATCAGAAACTGTTACTATTTGGAACCTGCCATCAATACTGAGGCTTGTTTTCAGAAGATGCAAGCACATTAATGAGCAGTCTGACATAAACTCTTACAAATAGGGTTCATATTTTCTAAGAGACATCAATCAGCAAATACCTGAGTGCTTTATGGAAGTTTATCATTTCAGTGGACTGACAAGCTAAAAAAATTCAAGGTTACAGAACATCTTGTGCTGACTCTGATTATCAAAAAAATGAGACACGTGCTGACATATTACATTCCATTTATCTCTACTGAGATATTTGGAGTTTTCCAGGAGATAAAACACTGTAAATTTCGTGCATTAAAATAAATTTCTGACACTAATTTCACTAAAATCATCTATACATAAGAATGTACAATTGTTTGTGTACAATTTGTTCATCCTGAAATCACTATTATTTCAGTATAAACAGATCACTGTGGTGACAGCTAATGAACAGCTTTGCCTTGTTCTGACCCATTCTGTACCCTCTTTGACATTAGCTCTGATGCAACAGCGGCAGAGAGAAATCACGGCTGAGGGAACGGGATCACTTCATTTGGCAGTAGCCCAGTTACACTGACTTACATGCAGCATGAACTATCACGAGGAAGTTCGTAAGCATCAGAGGCATAAGATTCCTGGATGCTGGGGTTAAAAACAGTTTTGAGATGAAGCACCGTCAGTAAAAAGATTGTGGGTCTGCCCATTATTCAGTGCTTGAAGAAGTCCCTCTGGGCCTTAAAGCTCCTGTAGTTACTTTGAGTAGCAACAGGTGCTAATAGAGTATGATCCTACTATTTTAATCAAACTGACACTACAAATATACAGAGGTTACTCATGATTCATTTAATGATACCCGTAATTACATTCAAATAGTTATGTTTACCATCCTAGTAAGTCATCAGATAAAGCCTAATGATGCATGCATGTAAATTCTTACACTGAGATTATCCTTTTTACTTACAATTGACTAAACTCACAGTTTCAAAATTTAAAGGCTTGGTCTTTT